TGCAAGGACCATCATCCTGCGAACTATCCAGCAAATTGATTTTAGTGCTGAATACAAACAACTCCGAATCCACAAAACATTGGACAAAAAGAGCTCGATTGTCTCCCTATGTGCTATAATCGGAAACGACGGACTTATCAGAGTCGGAGGTAGATTAGAAGAATCTAGCCTTCCATATAACGCGAAGCATCAAATTTTGCTTCCATACAACGATGCACTTGTGAAAATGCTACTGCGAGAGATGCATGAAGAGAACATGCATTGCGGGGCTCAAGCTTTAAGAGCCATTGCCAGGCAACAATATTGGATTCTCAATGATAAAACAATGGCAAGAAGCATAATTCACAGCTGTGTCAGATGTACAAAGGCACGGCCCAAGTTGATGCAACAAATCATGGGCAACCTACCAGCTGACCGAGTAACACAAGCTCGGCCATTCTTTAACTCTGGTGTTGACTACTGTGGACCGATTTGGATTCATCACAAACTACGTGGAAAAAGACCTGATAAGGCTTACATTGCAGTCTTCTGCTGTTTTGCAACAAAGGCAGTTCATCTGGAGTTAGTAAGTGATTTGACAACAGATGCATTTTTAGCTGCACTTCGACGATTTTTGGGTCGACGCGGAAAATGTCAGACTATTCACTGTGACAACGCAACAAACTTTGTCGGTGCCAACAATCAATTGAAGGCCTTAGAGGAAGCAATATTCACCGACAAGGCTCAAGAACAGATTATAAACCATTGCAATAAAAAGCAAGTGGAGTTTAAGTTCATACCGCCCCGAGCACCATCGTTTGGCGGGCTTTGGGAAGCTGCGGTGAAATCTGCGAAGCGGCTTCTAGTATCAGTCACAGCCACAGCGTCATTAACATTTGAGGAGCTTAACACCGTAATCGTGGAAGTCGAAGCAATCCTCAATTCCCGACCGCTGACACCAATGTCATCTGATCCAACAGATACATCAGCTCTCACTCCTGGCCATTTTTTGATTGGTGAACCGTTGACCGCCGCTCCCGATGCAAATCTAGCCTCACCAGGGACAACGTTGGTGAAAAGATGGGAATTAGTGTCCAGATTAAAACAAATGTTCTGGGACCAATGGTCTTTGGAGTATCTACAAGAGCTTCAGATGCGCAACAAGTGGAAAACCGCATCACAAAACGTGAAGGAGGGACTACTTGTGCTAGTCAAGGAAGACAACGTGTCTGTGATGAGTTGGCCAATGGGACGAATAGTGAAGACATATCCCGGTAAGGACGACCATGTCCGAGTAGTAGATGTAAAGACTGCATCTGGGATCTTCAAACGGTCTGTAAGAATTTGACATAAGTTTAAATTTGTTAAATGTGAATTTGATATTGTATAAGATATCGATAAGTTAAACGATGAAGTATTCCCTAAGTTGTATTTTGACGATATAATAGCCTGGGCACACTGAGAAATGTAAGCGAAGAAGTAAGACGCGCCGAGAAAACACAAAATTGAAACGCGCAGAAAAAAGTGAATAAATTCAAAAATACAGAATAAAAATCAATGCCTTTGTCTAAACTTAACATCTTTCAATTTTGTTTTGAAGTTGTGACGCGTTCTCAATTTTTGGTGCGTCTACCGGTGACGCCGTGGTACATACATACGTGGTAGTGCCAATTTCATCAGAACTCCAGAATTCTTCATATGTGTGAAAGTGACGCCGTGGTACATACATACGTGTTTGTACCAATTTCATCAGAACTCCAGAATTCTGCATATGTGTGAAAGTGACGCCGTGATACATACGTGGTAGTGCCAATTTCATCAGAACTCCAGAATTCTTCATATGTGTGAAAGTGACGCCGTGGTACATACATACGTGGTAGTGCCAATTTCATCAGAACTTAAAAATTCTGCGTATGTGTAAAACTGACGCCGTGGTGCATACATATGTGGTAGTGCCAATTTCATCAGAACTAGCGAATTCTGAGAATTTAAAGTGTACCGATCTGAATATCGAAAAGCGAAACGACAAGAAATAACACGTTCACAACTGAACAACTGACCAAAGCCTTGTTTTATTTGGGTGACTAAAGACAGCTATGAGCAGGGGCATAGCTAGCCGCCAGGGCAAATAAATCACCCCCATCGTGTCCCTAAGAAATTCAAGAAGCTTAATGAGTCAATATAATTTGCGAAACAAAAAAATGGAGTCTGACGAGGAAAACCTAGACGCTACAGTGTGTGAGGTTAAAGATAAAGGTGACAGTGAAAAGAACAATGAGTTGGTAACCATGTTAAAAACTATTTGCTCAGACATAAAGAGTATTCAAATAGATATACACAACGCCCATTTGGGTATAACGAACAATCAACGTGAAATCAAGACGCTTACAGATCGTCAATCAAAACAATTTGAGTGTATACGCGATCTTCAGAGCGACTCCATGGAAGAGACAAATTTACATACAACTAAGGGCAGTACAACTAATACTTCTCAAGAGCAAGATCGAGAACAAGCCAGCCTTTCGGAAGTCGTCGCGCAACTTAACCAAAACAACGTGCAGTTACATGATTTGCCAAAATTTTCTGGAAATACGGAGGACTGGCCACTCTTTAAAAGAACCTATGACGATTCTACTGAACTAGACACAATACAATACAATAATTTACAGAATCTGACGCGTTTGCGCAAATGCCTAGTCGGAGAAGCTAAGGAGACTGTATCATCCCTGCTAATTTACCCAGATAATGTACAGGATGTGATCGAAGAGTTAGAGTTCAGGTTCGGTCGACCAGAGTTACTGATTCGTTCACAATTGTCAAAAATTCGAGATTTCCCAAAGGTTGCATTTAACAAACCCGAGCAGATTGTAACCTTTGCAACAAATGTTCGCGGAGTTGTACATTTTTTGTCAGCGGCCAATCACAGAGAGCACTTAAACAATCCAATCTTATTGGAAGAACTTTTAACAAAAATTCCTATACATTTGCAGATGGACTGGCTTCAGAGCGCTGAAGGGAGAAATATGTCTCCGTCTATCGCCCAATTTTCTGCATGGTTGAGCTCAATTGCTAGAATCGTCGGTCGATTGCCAGCTGTAGTCGACACTTCAGGAAAGCAACTCGTCGCCCGAAGTTCAAAGCCCATATTTATTGCCAACACACGAGTCACGGAATGCATTCTGTGCAAAGAAAGCCATGATCTGGAAAACTGCAAAATCTGGAAGGAAGAAAGAGATATTAAATCGCGCTGGAATATTGTCAAAGAAAATCGTTTATGTTTCGCATGTCTAAAACAGGGGCATAATGTTCAGAATTGCAGAGTTAAACAAACTTGCCCGTTTGAAGGTTGTCAATATTCACATCACCGTAGTCTTCACAATGTCCCACAGATTCCAAATTTACCAGCTACAGACCCTAAGCCTTTACTGAATTGTTGTTGCGAAGTTACTAGCTCAAGCCCATACCTGTTTAAGGTCATTCCTGTTATATTATATGGAAACAACGGTAAAATAGAAACTTATGCAATGTTCGATGACGGAAGTTCAGTCACCTTGTTGGAGGAAGGTACTGCTGACCAATTGGGACTAAAAGGTCAAAGAAGTCCATTAACCCTGCAGTGGTACGATAACAGGAAAAGTTTAGAGATGTCTAAAAAGGTCAGATTTGAAATTACTGGCATAAATGATCCTATGCGATACGACCTTAAGAATGTAAAAACCGTGAAGAGTCTCGATTTGCCAACTCAGTCGCTTGCAAAGAATCAACATGATCATTTTGATAATGTACCAATACTGGGTTATAGTGACGCTAAACCAGTCTTGCTCATCGGACTTGACTTTGGGTCTGCCAAAGAGGATTGTTGAAAGAGGAAGCTTACAACCAGTAGCTATTGACACAAAGCTAGGATGGCTGGCTTATGGTCCAAATTCAGAGTTTGATAGAGCCAGAGCTTCATTAAAATCCCGTGTGTGTTTCATATCGGATGAAACTAAATGGCAAGATCTGGTGACCGAGTTTGTAGAAGCTGAGAATTTCGGAATGAGTAACTTACCACCCATAGAATCAATCGACAATGCAAGAGCAAGAGAGCTGATGAGGGAAAAACCGTTCGAATTGGGAAACAGTTTGTAATCGGATTACCGTGGAAGGAAAATGTAATATTGCCGGATAGTTACACAATGGCTGAGAAGAGATTGTATGGAATCGAGAAAAAGATGAACGCCAATCAAGAGTTTGCTGAAAAATACAAGACAGAAATGACTAAATACGTCGAGAAAGGTTATGCTCGCGAACTAAGTTACCCGGAAATTAGGGATACGTCTAAACCCGTCTGGTACATCCCACATTTTGCAGTACAATCGGTTCACAAGCCAGATAAGATGCGCATCGTCTTTGACGCTGCTGCTGAAGTCGAAGGTATTTCGCTTAACAAAGCGCTGCTTAAAGGTCCTGATAATCTAAAGCCCCTTATATCAATTCTAATACAGTTCAGGCAGAATAAAGTCGGTGTAACTGCAGATATTCGGGAGATGTTTTCACAGATACAGATACACGAACATTAGCAGAGTGCACAGCGGTTTTTGTGGCGAGATGGAGACATAAGTCAGCCAATTAGACACTACGCCATGACGTCTTTAATTTTTAGAGCAATATGTTCGCCATTCTGTGCAAATTATGTAAAGAATCTAAATGCCAAAGAACTTAAAGATCGATTTCCAGGGGCAACACAAGCGATTACTGAACACCATTACGTAGACGACCTTGTTATGAGTTTTACATCTGAAGAAGAAGCCATCGATATTTGCCAACAAGTCGTAAGGGTACACGCAGAAGGAGGATTTGAGCTGCGTAATTTCGCTTCAAACTCGGACAAATTGCAGAATGTTATGAATAGTCATCAGGTACCAAAAACTAACAGCCATCTTCAAAGTCAACTCGCAAGCGAAAAGGTTTTAGGCATGTTTTGGAATACACAACTTGATGTTTTTCAGTTCGAGACCAAATTCCATCGTATTCCACAGAACGTCATCAATGGAAGTCGGGTCCCAACAAAGAGAGAGCTATTGGGCATGGTTATGGCGATTTTCGACCCTTTCGGGTTGATTGCCGACTATCATATCTCGGCAAAGATCATAGTTCAGAGTACTTGGAGCTTTGGAACAAGTTGGGATGAAGCAATACCGCCTGAACTGCATCCAAAGTGGAAAAGTTGGTTGGCCGAGATACACAAAATGCACAACTTTAAGGTTCCTCGAATTTACTCTCCAAATTTAAACTGCTGCGAAAGATTGGAGATGCATATATTCGTCGACGCGAGTCAAGAAGCATTTGCAGCTGTTGCTTATCTGCGCATAGTTTGCCCTACCGTCGTTGACATAGCCTTTGTCATGGGAAAAACACGCTTAGCACCGAAGAAACTATTGTCCGTCCCTAGACTGGAACTTCAAGCTGCAGTCCTTGGAATTCGATTGAATCGCTTACTGCAACAGAATCATAAGCTCCCAATTGATGAAACATTTTTTTGGAGTGCTTCCAAAACTGTCCTGCAGTGGGTTCGTTCAAAGACGAGAAAATTCAAACCGTTTGTAAGTCACCGGATCACCGAAATACTGTCAAGTTCAACCGAGTTACAATGGAATTGGGTACCATCGTCCAACAACTCTGCTGATGCCGCCACTCGTCTATCGAATTCCCCGAAAATTTCTAGCCAAAGCCCATGGATACTTGGCCCGAGCTTCTTAAAACTACCGCGCTGTGATTGGCCACGAAGTACTGACATCACTCTACCAGATGTTTTTGAAGAAGAAGTGCCCGAACACCCAGTGTTGAGATGTCAGGTAGTTATACCGATAATAGAGTTTAACCGATTCTCTTCTTACAGCAACCTAAAGCGGGTAATTGGTTGGGTAATGAGGGCCAAAGGACTCTGGCTGAAGCGTTCGGACAAGAAAGGACCTTTAACTGTCCAAGAGTTAGCTGACGCCGAAATTGAGATCTGTCGGATGGTGCAACAAGAGGCCTTTCCCGAGGAAATCAAGAACCTACGGAATCAACAGATTATTACCAAACAAAGCCCAATTTATGAACTGTCGCCATACATTGAAACAGACGGTCTCTTGCATCTATCGGGTCGAATAGACGAGGCCTCATTTTTACCACAGCCGAGACGTCGTCCAATTCTTCTTCCGAAAGATCACAGAGTTTCATATTTAATTATGAGGCATTTTCACACGAAATACCATCATCAGAACCAAGCAGTTATCATAAATGAGAGCCGTCAAAAATTTTGGATACCGCATGTTAAGAGACTTTTAAGTAAAGTAATGTATGAATGCAATAGATGCATCTTAGACAGAAGTGTACCTAAGACTCCACGTATGGGTCAACTGCCACCAGACCGATTAACACCATATGTGAGACCATTCACTTATACAGGAGTGGATTTGTTCGGCCCACTTACCGTAACTGTGGGGCGTCGTCACGAGAAACGCTGGGGAGTAATATTTACCTGAACATGAACGTCAGAGCTGCCCATATAGAATTAGCAGCCGACCTTTCCACGGATGCCTTTATTCTATGTTTGCGAAATTTTATTAATCGAACTACAAAGGAACTCAAGAACAACGAAAATTTATTAGATCAAAACGCCATCAAAAATGAAGCCGTCCAAAAGGGAATAAAATGGATTTTCAATTGCCCTTTACAACCTAATGCCGGAGGATGTTGGGAAAGGCTAATACGGATAATAAAACGATTGTTAAGCAAAACCTTGCACAGTGCCAACCCACGAGTTGAGACACTCCAATCTGTATTGATCGAAGCAGAAAACATTATAAACTCACGCCCTCTTACTGAGTTGCCGATCACACATGAAAACGAAGAACCCCTTACACCAAATCATTTTTTAATGGGTTGTACTAATTCGACACAGACGCCACAACCAACTGTCCAAAATATATGCTTGAGAAAACAGTGGAGAATTGCACAAGCTCTTAAGGACTGCATATGGAAAAGATGGGTAGTAGAGTACCTCCCTCAACTGGTTCATGGTTCTAAGTGGCATCAAGTCAGCACTCCACTAAAAATAGGCGATCTGGTACTCATAATGGACGCCACCCTACCAAGAAGTACGTGGAAGAGAGGACGAATAATCAAGGTCTTCACTGGAAAGGATCAGCAAGTACGTTCAGCCGAGGTGAAAACAGCGGAGACCATTCTGCACCGACCAGCTTCAAAATTAATACAGCTCCAATTGCATGGTGAATCCGAGGACGATTCACGGGTGGGGAGGGTGTAAGAATTTGACATAAGTTTAAATTTGTTAAATGTGAATTTGATATTGTATAAGATATCGATAAGTTAAACGATGAAGTATTCCCTAAGTTGTATTTTGACGATATAATAGCCTGGGCACACTGAGAAATGTAAGCGAAGAAGTAAGACGCGCCGAGAAAACACAAAATTGAAACGCGCAGAAAAAAGTGAATAAATTCAAAAATACAGAATAAAAATCAATGCCTTTGTCTAAACTTAACACGGTCAGTAACTCGTCTCGCGCCACTGTTAAAAGAAGAAACAGCCGTTAAACGTCCGCACAGTTCCATCGGAGATACAACGGCAAAGGATGAAATGCCTACACAGAGGCGGAAGATATCACCTTCGATCCTTCCAACCCTGCTGGCAATGTTACTCATTCTGCCACTAGCGTTGGGACAACAAACAAAGGTCACGCATTTCACAAATCAGCCAGGACTGTTCTATGAAAGAATCGGGACCTCTAGAATGGCAATTTCAGACTGGACCATCATTGTATATTACGACTTGCAACCATATTGGAGTGATATGAGAGTATTGGCTGCCGGGATAACTGAACTCAAACACAAGTGTTCAGAATTACAAAACGTCAATGCATGTAACTCTATATACGCGCACTTTCAACACGTACGAGGGTGGGCTGATAAATAGTCGGCCTAACAGAGAAAAAAATTGTTTTTTAATTCATAAATATTTTATTCGATTAGTGTTTTCTATTAGCTGATTACTGTGAAAGTTTCATGCGGTTTTATCAACACAGGTAATTTTGGCGAGACTTTTAACGCATTCACTTTTGCATTTCGTCAATATGAATAAAATCGAATATCGTGCTGTCGCGCAACCGCTTGCAGATTGCGCAAACCAAAACGAATTTTTTCGTCGTTTTGTGACTGTTGACGAAACCTAGATTCATTACCATACACCAGAGAGTAAGGAACAGTCAAAGCAATGGATTTCAACTGGAGAAACGGCACCGAAAAAGGCAAGAATCGGTTTGTCGGCCAATAAGGTGATGGCAACGGTTTTCTGGGATTCCCGAGGTGTAATTCATGTGGATTATCTGGAAAAAGGCAGAACAATTACGGGAGAATACTATTCCAATATCTTGGGACGATTTGATTTGGAGCTGAAGAAATAAAAGGCCGCACATGGCGAAGAAGAAAGTTTTGTTTCACCAGGACAATGCTCCCGCTCACAAGAGCTTTGTCGCCATGTCGAAATTGTGTGAATTGCACTAAGAAATTCTATCCCATTCAACCTATTCTCAAGATTTAGCACCCTGTGACTATTATTTATTTCCAAACTTAAAAAAATGGCTTGGGGGTAAGAAATTTCAGTAAAATGAACTGGTAGTCTGTGAAACAAACCCCTATTTTGAGGACCTGGACAAATCCTATTTTATAGAAGGTATTGGGAAACTGGAGGATCGGTGGTCCAAGTGCACACGTCTAAAAGGAGATTATGTTGAAATATAAAAAAGAAAAATTAAAAAAAAAACGTATTTTCTTTGTAAGGCCGACTTTTTATCAGCCTACCCTCGTACATGCCGAATTACAAGCCGGAAATGAGCTTATTAATCACTCACGGCAGCGAAGATCACCGCTAGATATAGTCGGTAATGTGGCGAACTCATTATTTGACGTGCTGGATTCCAAGTATGCTGAAGATATGTCCAAGGTCATAAACGATGTCAAATCAAACGAGGACGTATTAATGATGCTATTGAAGAACCAAACATCAATCTTGGATTCCACTATAAATGTGGTAAGGAAAAGCAATTCAGCTACCAACGACCGCATACGAAACATAGAACGACAAATAGATGCTCTCACCAGAGAACGAGGAAAATATCAAGGCAACTATCTGCAACAAGCGTTCATGATCCTGACAGCTCAGCTCACTCTACTGGCAAATGGAATGCAGCGAATGCAAAATGAGATAACCAACGTTCTTACCGACATTCGCCACCGAACAATTAGCCCCATGCTAGTTTCTCCCCAACAATTAAGGGATCAACTTGATCAGATTATGGAACACATCCCACCGGATCAACAGCTGCCAGTCGCTTCAAATGACGTAATACAACTCTATCGAATCATTCATGCCGAGGGAACAACAACCACTGACCATGTTATCTTCAAAATAACGCTGCCATTAGTATCCACAGCGCAGCAAGAAGTTTTCAGCGTCATCCCCATCCCTGCATGGAAGGCAGGAAGCTGGCATGAATTCAAGCTCAAAACAAGGATCATAACTGTCAATGCCCATAGAGATCAATTCATGGGACTAACTACTGACGAGTTTGATCAATGTCTACAATTGCCAAAGGATGAACACATATGCGTCAATCATCAAGCTACGTTTAGCGTAGATAATCGATGTGAATTTCAGTTGTTCAAAAACAAGACTGAAACGGAATGTGAGACTGCTAAATCGAAGTCCGATTTAATATGGTCAGCAACACATCAACGAAACAAATGGATGTTTGCAACCCACAGTCCGATCGAACTGCAGGCGGTATGCAAGGGAGTTCCCTCCACAGTACAAATGGAAGGAACAGGCTTACTATCGCTCGCCGCAGGTTGCACGGCGCGCAACTCAAAAATCAGTGTTAGTACATTTAGCACAAGGCGCAGCGAGACAAAGGCAGCATATGTTCGTTTTGGCAACATCACCAAGATAGACATAGAAGAGACACCGAAACCAGTCGGAGAATCGACAACCAAGATAACCGACGCCGAATTAGGCGAATTAGATGCCCTACAACAACAACTGGCCAAACTAAAGGATGCGAAGTACGAAAATCAAGTCAGCGTTGTACACCATCATCAAGTAGCCGCCTATGTGGCACTATCAATATCAATACTAGTGATCGTGACCCTGAGTCTACGATATCGACGAATCAATTGGAGAACACCACAATGCAGCCCCAATCCCCGGACAACAAGTGAACAACCAGCACCCGAACCTACCCCACGGAGTTTTTCGTTCGACATTACTGAAGGTTGAACACCCGTTCAACGGCCGGGAGAATGTTCAGTCGCGGCAATATATATATAATTCATAATCATAACATTACATAATCTGTAATTCGTCAGTCGCAGCACTCTCATATGCAGCCAAAATAAAGTATCAATTACCAGGTCAAGCGCATATGTAGATTCTGCTGACGCGATGAAGTGGGATGGAGCAATAGCCTCATTCTGCATATACCATTACAACCTACATTATTCTTGCACATCAATATTTGTAACCAGAAGCATATTTGTTTCCGCATGCACTAGCAACCTACATTATTCTTTATCATTAATATTCGTAAATGCAAGCACATTTGTTAGCTATAAATATCGTTAAGTTTGAATCAATAAAGTCAGTAATCATCTGCAATTCAAAGAGATCTTTACTCCTCCAACTGCAGTCCACCTAGTTCAAGTGCTGGGTGCGACACAAACAAGGCAATTAGTTTATGTGCTATTTTGCCAGGCATCGAAGCCTACTCACACTAACAAACACTCATACAAACATACATCATGACAGTTTCGGCAGGACAAGGAGGAATCTTCTTTTTTTATGCACTTCTCCGAAACGGCTTTACCGATTCTCATGAAATTAAGTGTGCTTATGCAGTTTGGTTCAACTTGAGAGATAGGATAGCTTAGATCTTTTACATCATGGCAGTTTCGGCAGGACAAGGAGGAATCTTCTTTTTTTATGCACTCCTCCGAAACGGCTTTACCGATTCTCATGAAATTTAGTGTGCTTATGCAGTTTGGTTCAACTTGAGAGATAGAATAGCTTAGATCTTTTATATCATGGCAGTTTCGGCAGAACAAGGAGGAATCTTCTTTTTTTATGCACTCCTCCGAAACGGCTTTACCGATTCTCATGAAATTTAGTGTGCTTATGCAGTGTGGTTCAACTTGAGAGATAGGATAGCTTAGATATTTTACATCATGGCAGTTTCGGCAGGACAAGGAGGAATCTTTTTTTTTATGCACTCCTCCGAAACGGCTTTACCGATTCTCATGAAATTTAGAGTGCTTATTTAACCAAATCTTTATGCTTTGCTCGGGCTATTTTGTTAGTGAGTTTGCACAAAATTGGTCGAGCGGTTCTTCACGTATTACATATTTTGTAAGAAATTATTTCAATAAATCGTATTTCGTCAGATTGTTTTTTCTATTATTGTCATTTGTCATTCATAATTATTGTTTTGCGTTTATAAGTGGTGAGTCTCTAAATTCTCATTTTAAATACATTAAGAAGGTAAGATATTATTTTCAGTAAAATGCCACCGAAAAGATCGAATCTCAACAACGTAAGCAGCAGAGTGGCACGACGCAGACGAAAGAAGCTCATCAGTTGCTAGAACAAGTCAATACAAGAAATAGAGCTCAAAGAATTAGGACAGCAGAAGGTCGTGCACAAGAATCCCAGGAACAGCGTAGCGAACGTCTGCAGCAGAATATTACGAGAATCAGGGCGGCTCGAGATCGAAACATAGATATAGTACGAGCACAAGAACGACAAAGGCAGCGGAACAGTCGCTCATTAGTTCGTACATCATTCGTTCGTCTTGCTTTTGAATATGCACCAGATATTAACTACTCTGCGCATTCAAAAATTGGTATCGGTGGAATGGACAAAGTATGTCAAGATTGTCAGGCGTTTAAATTTCGGAATGAAACTGGGGGTATATGCTGCGCAGCAGGAAAAGTCGTGCTCTCTACCTGCTCCGCCAGAACCTTTATTATCCCTTCTTGCTGGAAATTCAAATGACTCAAAATTATTTTTGCGTAAAATACGAAAATTTAATTCTTGCTTCCAAATGACGTGATTTGGGGCCACTAAAATTTGTGATCTTGCATCCGATGGACATAATTCTGAAACTACATACAAAATACAAGGCCAGGTGTACCACAAAATTGGATCATTGGTGCCAATGCCTGATGATAATCCGAAATTTCTTCAAATTTATTTTATGGGCAATTATGAAGAGCGAGTAACGACTCGATGCCAGTATAATTTTATTGAGCAGAGGAAAAAGCGATAGTGATGCTACTAATTTAATTAATAAAAAGAGTTTCGCCACGATTGCAAAGTGACAACTATCATATAGTCATAAAAGCCGATAAAGTACCATTAGGTCAACATGCTGGGAGATTCAACGCTCCAACTGTTGATGAGGTTGCTGTTATCATGGTTGGTGATCC